ATTTCCTTCTGAGTCAGTGGACAAGTGGAGCAAAAGATTCTGATTTGAGTCTTGGTAGGACTGAATGCTGAGTTGAGAATCCATTTCAAAATTATGCCTTTGCAGACCTTTCCCCTTGAATTCTCCTAGAACTTGTAATGGATATTTATCAGACAGCTTTCTGTATTTAATGAACATTCTCAACAAACTATGCRTGTGAGGATCACTTATCATCATCATTCTGCTGCTGTGCCATTCAAAGGTATAATTCATATTATTTTATCATCTGGTGCAAAATAATAAATATGTTTTRAAGAGTGATTGCTGTTAAATGGCAGAGTTACTTTTGCTGTCAGTCTAGCAGCTGAATCCAGAACCTTTGGTCTTTGATTCCTATATCACGAAGTGTTGTGTAGAAAACAATGGAAATAGTTGTAATAACTCCAAATACAACTGTGATTTTTACTTTTCTAGTCAGGTAGGATTAGTATAAAATTGATTCCTCTGCATAACACAGCTTCTTTTCAGTTGTTTTGATTTACTGTACTTTGTATGTTGCTTGAGCAATTGGAACTCTATTCAGCTCCTAAGTTTCCTATGAAGTCCATTTGGGTTTTGTAATGTTTGCGTCATCTTATGGGACTTGAATTATCTKAATGTCCAAGGGTTTACTCTTGTTCTTGGCTTCCTGCCAAGCCCACATTTTTAATAGCTAGACCTACTCCTTGAGGTCCTGACTTGACTAGCAAGTCCAAAATGACCATTTTTTGTTAATTCTGTACATTTCCCCCTTCGTTCCATGCACTTACCTCTAAGAYCATTGTTACCGAACTTGGCAGGGGGCTTTGAAATGGCTAATGCTTTTCACAAACCTCCCTGGATAATCATTCAAATTTCCAACTCTATTTGGTAGGCTATGACAATTTAATTGTTGAATTAAATATTAGGAAAAAATGCTGAAAAATAGCCATTCTTTTGGTAATACAATACATACAAGTTTAAGTAGCTTAATGTTATGGCTTTCTCGTGGAAAACAGTGATGAGACTCTGCTCATTGTGTAAGGTGAAGCTTTGGGACCAAGGAGCTGGTTGTGCACTTAGGTTGTCMGCTGTCTTTGTGTTTGCCATTCACAAGTCAGACTCTGACTGGAACTTGCTGCAGGTATGATCTTACAGTGCCTCACTTCTCCTGACATTCCAGATCCTTTCAGTAACAAATATATCTTCAGTGTTGTATCATCCTGGTGGTTCATCTTTTCTACTCTCTGAGCAATGAAGAAATAACGTAGTATTTGGTCCACCAGCACAGGCTGGTAAAATTAGCTCTTACCAAACCAAAAAACCTTTCTGTGTGGGCAGACATTGCTGCTCTGTTGCAGAGTACAAGCCTTCTGGGTTAGCTGCTGGTAGACGAGATGAAATGACATTTCTTTAAGATCAGTGCCAGTTTCAGAGCAGGGTGGCATCCGTACCACAGCACAAACCAGAGAGCTGTGCAGGTGATAAAGGAATATTAAGAAGCAAGAATTCTTWATGTGGGTGGGCAAGGTGCACTATTCAGAGTGGCGTTAAGTGAATTTTTTGAAGTTGTTTTCCACAGCTKTGGTACAATTCATAAACTGAAATTTTATCTGTTATTATGAAATCTCTTATGCGCCATCAAATTAAACKGTCCTTTGTTATTCTTTAATGTGCTATGCGTTCATTCACTCTGGAAAGTGTTGATTTCACTTCAATTCCAGAGTAAGAAAGTTTGCTCTTAATATTACTCTTCTAATACAAATACTGTGTGATTAATTAATTTATTTATATTTTCTTTCTTTTTAATCATTGTAGTAACATCAACACCCCAGCATGCTTAYTACATGGAAATTTTCATGATAATTTTATTTCACTTAATACAGAAATTGCATGTTTCTTACTATTCTAAGTGAAGGTGGACAGGGAAGAGCTACCATAGGATGTCTGTTGTTTTGCAAAGATTAATCTTAAACACAGTTTTAATTAACTACAAGTTCCTAGTTACCAGGCCAGCTATCAGGCATCATGCCTAATGTTTTCTTATTTCTGATTACTATTGTAAGTGAAGGAATTGTATGTTAAATACAGCAAAATACAAGAGTTGTCTGTTAATTCCTGGTTGAATTTTCAGTTACGAGTGAAATCTTAGCTTTGTCCCTGGGGTTTCCCTGCAGAGGCTGAGATTTGAGAGGTGCATGATCCAGGAGACCATCTTAACAGCCAGAGTTCTGGAATCTGTTGGGAAAGCAGTGGGCACATTTAGGGATTAGCGTTAAGCCCAAAAGTACTAGGAATGCCTTTCTTTGCAACAGGCATCTCCCCTTCCATTTTTAGTATGTATGTTTTAAATAGGAATATAGACATGATCTTTTAAGAAAACTTGGGTTAAAGATACAGTCATAATACAGTAACAAAACCCCAGCCTTTCCTGATCCATCTGTTGACTGACAGGTGACTTCTGTACCAKCTGAGTGCTTAAAGTGCTTCCAGTCTGACAGCAGATGGTGCAATCTATGAAGGCCACTTGGGTCCTTYAACAGAGCTGCTGCTGTTAATTGCATGAATGTGGAAGCTCTTTTGCAGAATAATGGTTTTTGAGTAATAGAAATGTAGTGCACGTTCTCTGGTGAAACGTGCTATATTTAGCTCTGTAGAAAGAGGTGTGTCTATGTGATACAACCAGCTCTCTTTAATTCTGTGACTGTGCTTGCTCTGAGAGGGTTTCCCATGTTCTTGCCAATCCTGGGAAGTGGCAGAACTGATCCATGCCTCCCTCGAATATGTGAGACGTTTCTGCGGCTTCAGCTCTGTGAGCTGCTGATTTTTTTTTGCTCTGTGGTGTTCTGTAGCCCCACAAGGGCAGAGACAGAGACACCTATTGTGCACAGCCACAGTGCCCTACTTGCTGTATAAAGTATTGCTGGTACCAGAATCTCAGTGTTGAAGCTTTCAGCACATAGCTAGATGAAGTGGTGTATGCTTTTGGTGTGGAAGTCACTGAATTAATCTTTAATTAATCTTCCTCTACCTGTGGCAAGGAATCGTGGTAGTCATTGTATTAGTATAAAATGCCATTATTTTTTGCATTGTTTTCTGCTTGGATGTTTCAAGACTAAAATATTTGCACTACAGAACAGCWGGGAAACCAGCTCCAGGTTTCCTTAGTTGGTTTTTCTTACATAAGAGTTTTACAAGGTGTTAGAGTGTTGACCTGAAACAACAGATCAGTTGCTGCCTTGCAACCCTTCTGGCTGGTCTTCCACTTGCCTTTTGCATCTCCAACTTTCTTGGTGAGGGGGAGACATTCTCCTAATAGTTCATTTTGTGGTTTATTGTTTTTGTCTGGTAATGTACTGAATAAGTAATAACCACTAGTTAGTAAGGACTCCCTTAGAATATTAATTARTATTTGAGATAGAAAACCAGCGCATAAAAGGGAAAAGCTTTCAAAAGAATAGGATGGCATTACAGGTAACTACTTAACAGTTTAATGATTGCCTGTTGGATTTAGAGTTTTGATGTAGTCTGTAGCTCTGGATTCTGTTCTGGCTTTTCTATTAACTTTCYTATTAGCTAAGTGTAAAAAGTGCTTGGACAAGTCCTCTATTTGTTCTTACTCTTCATTATGCTCTACGTGAAATGTAACAGTATTGCCCAGGATTATTAAATAATCTAGTGCCTGCTGTGGATTGGTTTGCCACCGGAAGTTGTTGAATCTAAAGCGTAACAAGAATTTAGTAGGAGTGGAACAGTTGTGAGGGAATCAGAAGCACCCAGGGRTGAAACAGTTACTGACAAAATAAGAAAATTTTAATTTACTTGTTTTATGGCTTAAGCCTATCGGTGGCTGCAGGGAATTGGAAGGATTGTGCATGGAGGTAAAGAAACCCTACAGCTTCATGATACAGAAACTTTATTGAAGCATTCAGTTTGTCACCAGCTGCAAGATCATATCCTTACATTGATTTGTAATGAAACACTTAGTTGCAGATCTGTCTGAAACTTGAATTGAAACAAGCAATCCTGAGATAATAAAAAAGGCAGTRGTAACCTATAAAGGGATGAACTACACAGCTAAAAGATTCACTTATTTTGTTGGAATTCAGTAAACAAAAATAGGTGTATTAGGTTTTTCCTCTTTTGCTCTTTGATCTCTGCTGCTTTTCAATCTGTTACCGGTAATCATTTAGTGGTCTTTAGCTGTTGTAAACTACACTGTTTTTGCAGTGTGCTAAATAAAATGCAARTGCTTTTATTTTTGCTTCTGAACCTTGTAATTTAGTATTTCACCTGTCCTTTGAAAATCTTGCTGCTTTTTTTTCCTGATATTATCAGCACATGCAAGATGGGCAGCAGTGGTGGCAGAGCTGTTTGCTTTTTTTCTTTCTGGATTGATGAGCAGGGTTATTCCTGTGTCCGCAGTGTGCCCTGGCAGCCAGAAAATGCTGTGTCCTGGGGGTAGATCAGCATCATTAGCCAGTCAAAGGAGGTGGTGGTCCTGGTCTGCGCTGTGTGCATTTTGGGTGGTTTCTCAGTACAAGAAAAAGGCATAAAACTATGCTAGTATGTCCAGAAGAAGGAGACCAAGGTGGTGAAAGATCTCAAGGAGCAGCTGAGGTCACTTGGTCTGCACATCTTGGAGAAGAGAAGGCTGAGGGGTGACCCCAGAGATGCTGATCTCCTCTTTCTCCTGACCAGTGACAGAACATGAGGAAAGGGAATGAAGCTGCATCAGGGGGAGTTCGGATTGGATGTTAGGGAAAGATTCCTCACTGGAATGATGGTCAGCCACTGGAACAGGATCCCCAGGAAAGTGGTCATGGCATCAAGCAAGGCAGACGTCAAGGAGCACCTGAATGATGCTCTCAGTCATGTGGTTTAGGTTTAGGAAGTCCTGTGAGGAGCAGGGAGTTGAACTCGAGTGCCTTCCAACTTGGGAGATTGTGTGTTTTGTGTATAAGTAGGCCATACTAGAATATTTTTCCTTTTCTGCATTTCAGGTACCTACATTTCAGGAGCCAGAGAAAGCTGGGAATATGATTCAGGAGCGAGAGACCTTCAGAGTCCGGACCTCCAGAGTCACTTTATGCAACAAAAGGTGTCAGAGTGTGGTGGAAGCAATGTGACTCAACAGGCTGCTCTGAAAAGACTTCTAGCTCAGACCTCAAATTTTAGCAGCTCTGTTGGAGGAAGCTACTTAGAACTTGCCAACACTGTAAGTGTACTTTACCTTCTGCTTTTGAGTTTTGTAGAAGTTTTTTTGTTGTTGTTTTGAAGCATATTCATTCCAGCCTTATAGCCTTTATGGAAACARTATTACACAGTTGTTACCTTTGATTTTCCAGAAAAATAATGTGGTTTTAGCAATAGGTAGGTGTAGAATATTTCCAAACTTGTATAATCAGGTTTTGTCAAAAAAGGTAGGAATCTGTATGTATCTGTATGGTCAAACAGGAAGTTCCTAATTTATACAACTTAACCGAAGAAGATTTGTTTATAAAAACTTACTGTTAACTGTGGTGTCAGATTGCTCAGAAGTGTTATGTAGCAGAATTCTTCACATGTTACTTCATTACTACCCACTAAATTATATGGTACATGCTTTAAGCCTTTGGTGTGCTTTTTTATTTCTACAAGCTAGTACAATTCTCCATTAAAAAAAAAACCTACATGGCTGTTTGTGCTAGTTTTAACTGGAGAAAGGTGAATTTTCTTCACCGTGACTAGTGTGGGACTGTGTTTTGGATGACACTTTTGAAGGAGTAAGGCATTATTTTTTGCTTGCCCCCATTTGTATGGGGATCAAGTTGGTGTTTTACTTTTAACTCAAGCATCTTATAAAAGATCACCTATTTCATAGCATGTTTCTGGTTTATGTTGCACAGGAGTTTAAGTACAGAGGTAAAAGATGCTAGAATGAAAGTGAAAAATTTCTGATTTTAAAAATTACTCTTTGTTGGCATGCCTGACCTTGATGAACTAGACTCCTAGTTCACGATATCCCAGGATAATTCAAGTATTATAAGAGAACCTCAGAAGGTCATCTGGTCAAACATCCTACTCAAAATAGAAGTGATTGCTGACATAGAGGAAATTCAGTGTCTTCAAGCCACATTGTTTAAAAGAAAATTATGATACGTATCCTGAAAATGCTTCCAAATTCCATCTTGGTTTTACCTAAGTTCCTAAACCTGAGCTGATACAGGACCTGTGTCCATATGCATATTAAAAAAAAAATTAAGAAATTAAAACTTCCCTAAGGGAGAAAAGAATTTAAGGAAGTTGGTAGTTTCTTAAAGGAATTGTGTCCTCATTTTTTCTGGGGAGGGTAGTAACAGATATCAACTGCGGTACATAATGAACTCTCACAGAACATATGGGAACTGTAAAGAGCARAAAACAAGCAGGCACATAGGTATTATAAAAGGGATAATATGGGGGAATTAAGAGATTATGTGCCATTTAGCAGCTTAGTTTGTATCTTCCATTACTTGTGGGGAAATGAGCAATTTTAAGTGAGTAAGAGAGAAAATGTAGATTTGTAAAAGAATAATCAAGTCCAACCAATGTAATAGCTCCCTGTAGTGGTTTGAATGAATTWAATGGGAGCAAAATACTCCCAAGTTCCAGCAAACCCCCCCGCCTCTCCTTTCCCCACCCGGGTCCCAGAGACAACCTTTTCCACAGAGAGGAAAGTGAAAAGAAAAGGGGAAAAAAAAACCTATTTATTTAAAATTATAAAAACAAAAACAAAAACAAAAAAAAAAAAAAAAARAAAAAACCTGTGGAATCAGCTGTTAGATCCCAAAGCCTTTCTCTTCCCTCCTGGGAGTAGCTTCCCCTCCGGGGCCCCCAGAGGGGTTCGACAGAGTCTCTCTCCGATAGTTCACTGAAGGATCTTTCTCCCTGTCGTGCCACAAGAATCCTCCAATTCTCAGATGGCGAAGAAAAAAAAATTCGAGGAAAAACAAGTCCAAAGAAAGGCAGAAAAAGGAGCAGTCCCAGGAAGAGCAGCTTCTTTTCCACCGCTGATCCTGAGAGAGCCTCCCGAGGAAAAAAAAAAACAAACGTGTGTGTCTTGTCCCTTTCCCTCCCATTGTCCTTGAAGGGAGGAACATCACCAAACAAACCAGAGCAGTCTCGACTATCATGTATAGTTACAGAAGGGTTGTTTRACTTTCCTCTAGCATAAGCAGATGATAGGAATACAATACTYAGCTAACCTAGGACACTCCCTTAAGAGGGGATAGAAGACCACAGACATCCTGTTTCTCCAGTAAAACATATAACCCTGCCTTGAGTAAAGTCCTCCTCATCAAGGCAAGAAACATAATTTAAATGTAGCTAGTAATGGTCCTACGATGATAGTTAAGAAATTTTGTGCTGTTAATTTGCTATGATACCAAGGCACAGGTGTGAAGTGTTACTCGGGTGTGATGGCTACTGCATTGCTATGACATGTAGAAATCTGAAAAACAAAAATGCAGAAGGCCCATAAATAGTAAAGATCCCCAGGTTTTATGGCCTTCTTAGTCCAGGGAGGATATCAGAAAAAAGTTTTTCACCCTGAGGGTGGTWGAGCACTGAAACATGCTCCCCAGAGCAGTGGTCACAGCACCAGCCTGATGGAGGTCAAGAAGTGTTTGGACAGTACTCTTGGGCATATGATGTGACTTTTGGGGTGTTTTGTACAGGGCCAAGAGCGGGACGTGATGATTCTGATGGGTGCCGGCCAACTCAGGATATTCTATGATTCTGTACTCTCTAAATTCCTTTTATGTTTACTGTCTTGAAAGGTGTTTGTTTTAATCTGTTATACTTCTGCTTTAAAACATTCCTTCTATGCTTTTCAAAACCACAGTAGAATCATCAGGTTCTCATTTATGTGTAGATTAATACAATAACATCTGCATTTGACTCCTGCTGAGCACTGGTGTCATGGGTCATATGTAAAYTTTTGCTTTGGCTTTATTAAAATGGAGAGACAAACAAACGAGAAAATTGACATTATTTACTTTGAGTTTCAGTATTTATCCATTTTTCTACAATTTTTATTACTTTGGGGCATGCTTACTGCAGTCTAAATTTAGGCTCTTCAAAGAGCTAAACTTAGCCTTTATAGAGCTGATATTTAATATAGGTTCTTCCTTCTCTGTCTCTTTCTCCAGTCTTCTACTGAGCTTCATTTGCCACAAWGACAGGCAAGCTGCTTCCTTGCATTCGTTCTCAGAAATGACAGATCTCAGCTTTCCCATTTTTATAAGCTGAATTCACTTAATGAATCAAGTGTCAATTCTTGTTATTAATGTCCTGATTTACTTTCTGGCRGCCTTTTTTTAGCCTGCTTTTGATTTTAAACTGTGCAGTCAGGCTAAAGACATCTTTGTGGTGATTATGTATTCCTACAACATAGATTATACTCCTCAGTCAAGATAGAGTGTCTCCATGCTGTCCTTAACATTTGTTTTCCATTTGCAAAAGCTAAATGAACATCAGTGTATTTTGCCTAGTTTTTATAAGGGGAATTTTTTTAAATGCATTTTTTAATTTTTGTGAACATAGAACTCTACATCATTTTATTCAAAATAGAAGCATAAACATGCCTGCTCTAAAGCATAATTCTTCATCACTGGAGTGATGCAGTTTTTAAAGTAGTGTGGCTTGAAATTTACCCGTTTATTACTTATTGCATGTGTTTTTATCATTGTTCATTTTGCATAATTTTGCTATAATTTGGTTTACTAACATATGTTCAGATTCAGCTTTTGTTTTACCTGAATAATTTATGCTGTAATCTTTATAGGATATTAATCTCTCTAAGCATTTTCCAGATTTTCATTTTTATTCTTACATAGTAAGAACACATTCCTCTCTATAGCTTTAGTCCTTGGTACCAGCATTTATGACTAAAATATTAACCTTTCACATGACCTGTGACAACTTACTGATGATGTATCGATTTGTGCCARTAGAAGTCCTTATGTGTGTGTGTTGTGTTTGGGAATTGTAAATCATTTAAATCTTCTTCGTGGACAGAAAAGAGTGCAAGCATTTTGAAGGATTTCTTGGTGCATGTGGATGTTTGGGAGAAGCCGTACGATCTCAGTGTGGTCCCTACAAGGTGTTACAAGGAGGGATCTGTTCCAGGAGATGAAGTATTCCTGTTCTCTGAAAACAGCACACAGGCAATACATCAGTATGATAGGCATATTTCACAATAAAATTCCAGTGAAGTTTAATGAGCAGTAGCAATAAGATTTACTATAATTCCCTTTTTATATTCTCCTTGRATGTGTTTAAAATACACTTGATTTTTTTAAGTAGAACGTGTGCATGTAAGTGGTAATATATTTATATATGCATAATGTTGGTCTGTGCCTAAGTTCAGTATTGTTTTAAGATGAATGTATTTRTTGTCAGACGTAACTAAATTTACGTAAACAAAACCCATTTGGTCTGTTTAGTTTGCCATGATCATAGGATCTCTGTTCTTTTAGTTGGAAATGCATCTGGTTTGCTGAGAAAACTCTCTGCACCAAGATCTTACATTTTTGAAATGTAACCCCAAGTATGTTGGTATRTGGTAGTTTTTTTAACTATCCAGTCCTGCTCTGGTGAGATCCAAAATACTTTGATCTCTGATTTTTCCATCCAAAGATAGCTACACTGAAACCTCTTTGACTGCACCTCTCCTGGACAGAGCTTTTTTACTTGGAAAAGTTGACTTGCAGAGGGGAAGGGTGCAGCTGTGTCTTTGAGAACAGAGTGTGGTAGAATTTCCTTACAACTACCGTTCAGGAGACTGCGTTGCTATTTCCACCTCAAAGCAGCCGTACCACAGATATGGTTGTTCTTAGTCAGAAACAAGAGCTTATTTACAGAGTTGCCAGAATTACTTCCTGCAGCATCTCACTCTTCTGGCCAACCACAAAGTGTGCATAATTCTGCTTTTTATCTTATGCAGGGCTGTTAATGCATGACGGATGTGTCTAGGTRGGAGGGTATTGGGGCAGACTGCTCTACCTGCCAAATGTACACTTGTAATCTCAAGAGGAGCTGTTTTTTGGAATGTCTCCATCAAGAACAAACCAAAAACTAATTCCAAAATGTACTTAATGCATCTTGTTGTAACTGCTCTCTTTCTTAYCTATTCTGACTGATTTGTATGTGTTTATACCTTATCTGGAGGTACTAAAGACATCACTGGGCTTGGGA